CTCTCTCTCTCTCTTTCTCTCGATAAACTGGTGAACGCCGCGCACTTTCCGCTCGCCGCGCCGCTGGAAATCCTTTTTCGTTCGCGCTTTATCGCTTTCCGGGTCCACTATCGCTGCTTCCCTTATCAGCCATCAACGGGTCCACTTTTACTGCCACTTACGCAACTCAGCACATTATCACAACAACAATATACCCGAACGCGGCGGGATGCGGTCACCGGGAACGACTGACCACGAATCACCGACCGTCCGCGATGGCAAATGACATGTCCCTCCTCTCGCGGGATCACGGGATCACGGGATTCGGCGATCGCGCGGAACCGCGGGATCTTGCCGTTTGCAATATTGAATCCTGTGCGTGCAGGCCCCGACGTAAGTCGCAATCACGCCTTTCGTGATTACGAGTCCATCCGTATCGGAATAAAAGAATCGGCGATAAAGCGAGCGCCGGGTCCTTCTTCTCGCCGGGCCCACCCAATCGTGGTCCCAGCTCGGAAATTGGGCGACGGTGAACCCGGCGACGGCACGAGGAGAGAGAAGAGAAGAGCGTGGCCCCTGTCAGGTGTTAGAAGCCGTTTCTTGCGTACTTCTCGGATAGTCGACGAATCCTTTATGGGCCATGCATGAAGGTACTATAGCCCCCTATCCCGAACGCCGCGTACTACAACCCACGGCCAGCTAAATGTAACCCCTTACAATAATGGCGCCGCTTGTCTCTCCGTTCTGTTCCCCCCTCTCCTGCGGCTCGAGTCTCGAGCGCGCCGGGGTACCAGCTGGTAAACAGAGCCGTCCAATCGTCGCGCGGCCTCACCAGAGCTCAACCAATCCCAACCCTCCTAGGCGCGCCAAGATGAATGGATCTCTTTCTCCCTCGGTTCTCCTCTCGCTCCGATCTTCGCTTACGGCTATACCTCGTGCTCTCTTCCTTCACTTAGACTTCAAGCACCTCTCGCTTCCACGCTCATCGTATATACTGTCGTATACCCGGCGTGCTCGCTGCTCCGTCCTGCTCCGTCCTGCTCCGTCCGTCTGACGGTCCGTACCTTCGCCTCTTGCCAGTGCAGTCGTGCTCACTGCTCGCCACGTTGCCTTATACCTTGCAACGTTTCAACGTCTCACACGGTATTTTCTGTCCTCTTCTATGTTTCTTCGCTTCTCTCTCTCTCTCTCTCTCTCTCTCTTCCCTCCCCCCTCTCTCTCTGCTCTTTCTTTGAATGCAATCTTTTTATCTCATTTTTATTCTACCTCCTCGCCGAAATTATTTTTTTCTTTCTTTTCGATCTCGTCAAAGTAGTACTTTTTCGAATTTCTGCTTCGTACACACACACACATTACTTGTTTCCTATTCAGTCTGTATTAATCCTAAGATAAATCTATCTTTTGATACAGAGAATTACCATGAAATCTTGAACACTCCGGCTCTAACGTATGTATATCATTTGCAACTATTTCTTTTATTACTCCTTCCGTCATGTTTGTAATAGCATTACTTTTAATTAAACAAAATAATTTTTTTATTTTGTTTTAATCAGATTCGTCCTTTTATCCTTTTTTTATTAACAATACAATATAGTATAGTGACAATTTATAATTCTTTTTTTAAAGCGATAGCCTTTAAGATACCATGTTTTATATTTACATTCATTAGTCAGCTGTAAATTTCACTTCTTCATTAGCAGAACATATCGTATATTACAAACAAAATAATTCTGTCCATTTTTCCAAGTAATTACAAGAAGTTTTTATTTAAAGACTTGTTATTTTCATTATTATCTAAATCAGTTTTTTTCGGTTCAGATATTTCTATTTTATATTTATCTGGTTTGAGGTAATTTACATATAATATATATATATGTATATATATATGTGTGTGTGTGTGTGTGTGTGTGTGTATCACGACCAAATATATCATTAATAAAGAATTCATTTTCAAGATCCTCTTTTTGTTGTACAGAATTTAATTGTGTGTGTGTGTGTGTGTGTGTGTGTGTGTGTGTGTTTTGTGTGTGTGAATCATCATCGGGTCTAATAAAAGCAGCATTTCATGAAAAAACATCTTGCATCGTATACTTCATTCTTCGCTTTATGTTTTCTCGTAAAAAGAATAGAATCATGAATAGTAATTGCACAGATCACTAATGCAACGTAGAAAAGACACTTTCAATAATTATCCCTCAATCCGTAGAAGAGAATATACACTTCAAATCTCTGTCAAAAACATTCGATTCGCGCGCCTTTCCTTTCCTTCACCTCCTTTGCTCCTCTCTCTTTCTTTTTCTCTTTCGCGACTGCTTTTGCCAAGTATTGCAGAAACTGGCGCGATTCGGCCACCGTCGAATTGTCGACGCGTCGACTTTTGGAAACCACTGAACTCGTCCCGGTTGGGATATCGCGGCGGCATTTCTATGTGAGAATGGTTGCGGGGGCGAAGGGAAACACGGCTTGCGAGAGGGAGCGGCTTACGTCGGTGGCGAATATCATGATAGAAGGTGTACCGGGAATATCGCACGTGAAGGTAGTAAGGTGCAGAGAGCGGGTAAAACTTACAGCCTGGATTCTGGCATTTCTTACGATGGACAGCTCCATTTTACACACCCCATTTTCTTGGTAAACTTCATACGCGCTTGAAACACTTTTGTCTAATAGAGAGTGTATTTATTTAGCACATAATTATCGTACTGCTTCAATTATTATTTATCTTCCGATATATAATTCGGTTAAATTAATAGATAAAATTTAAAAGTTGCTTTTTATCTCTCGTGGAATATGTGACTCAAGATATAAAACATTTCCTTCTATAGAATTCGCAATAATTTTGATATTACGTATGTAAGTGAGAAAGACAATAATTTATAATTTTAAGAATTTTGTATACGTTTAGTAATTAGAACTACTATAACTACCTTTCATTGTAATAAAGTATAAATTATAATTCTGATTCTCTTGTAAATCTTCTTCATATTCGTTAATCACAAATATAAAAAATTATTATAGTACACAAGCTCTACTTAAATTATTAAAAGACAACTTACCTGTCACATAAGTATTTACACAAATTTGTACAGCTTGTGTAACATTATAACAAGTAAACATTATATGAATTAAGTAATATAATTTTAGTTACGTTTTTAAAAACTAGGAAGCAGTATCACACTAATTGTAAGTACTTACCATATGAAGTGTTGGCTGGATGATGATATAAATCCCATTGTCTGAAATCAAATTCAGAAAACATTAATTGTGATACACCAAAGAATAAAAAATAAAACATAGACAGTCTGATATAAAATATGAATTGGAATATGGATAATAATATATATTTTCGAATTTAATATACGTGAAGGTAAATGTATTCGCCCCTCGTCGTTTAAAATATCGTCTGTCGGCTGTTCAATATGGCTTTCATGTAGAGAAATGAATGTCCGCAGTTCTTTGTGTCTGGGCGGTACGATCAATAACAGAAACCACAAAAAATGTTACGTGAATATCCCGACTAAGTAATTAATTATACGATTAAACATCATGGTATTTGAAGAGAAATAAATGCATAATTTAGTATCGCATATACAATTATTTAACAACATTAATTAAATTGTGTATGTGTTAGTAATAATTTAATCATTTATAACAACAGAAATTTTTTAATACTACTTAATAATTGTAAAACATATAACTTTATATCAATGAGTTTACGTGTTAGATGAACGAATTATAAATTAGTAATTAAAAATTATTAATTATTAATTCCATTCATTAATCCTAAAGAATATTAAATAATTTTCGTTATCTTTTTTGATGTTTTCCCTTTCAATACTACACTGTTGGGAAAAAAAGTGTCGAATTTAACATAAACCGCATATCGCAAACGGTCCACTCGAATTTTTGAGTTAATTTTACACAAGATGAATATATAAGGTAACACAAATCTTATGTAAGAGAATAAATATAATATCGACACAGTTTGTAAAAAAAACCGTGGAAGCATATTTTTTCAGAAAATTAACACATTTATGATATGTTAAATTAACACGTATTTTATTCATTTATTCTTAGATTCTTAGAATTTCTGTTTTAAAACACATTATTTTTATGTTACTTGTTCACTTACTCATAAATGTATCATTGTATCATTTTGATACTAAGGAACGTTCAATCAATTTCACAACAAAATCTTTAAATAACATAATCACAATTATATTAAATTAACATTCAAATATGTTAAAAAATTTAATACAAACTGTTAATACAGAATACGTGAGTGGATCGTTTTCAACACAAATATACCATTTTTTTTACTGTGTAGATATTAATTTCTCAAAATATCAAATACATAAATATATAGATATAATCCCGTAAGACGCAACTGATACATTCTTCAGCTAGCAGTATAATCGCGAGTGATGAGTTGAAACAAAGGGATTTCAAAAATGTAATCCCAGAAAACTGACCAGTACAGTCCGACCAGTCCAATTATATCAACGATCGCTTGTCGGATCTCGAAGTCTTTGCTCAACTGGATAAGACACGAACACAAGAGCTGTCAGAGTAACACGTACATACATTCATGTACAGACGCAACACCCACACGGGAGCGAACGTGTGGGTACACATGCAATGTCGTCTGCGACGAAGGCACGCATGTACCTGTCTCAAACACCATGGAATATAAATTGCAAGCACGTCAAGCGCGCGAAGCTACAAGAGAGATGGAGAAAGGTAAAAATCTATACATGTATATACGTGTGTGTGTGTGTGTGCGTGTGTGTGTGTGTGTGTGTGTGTGTGTTCGCGGAAAGGTGTATAGAGGATAAAAAGAAGTGATCTGCGTCCCCGCCTGAAACATGGAACGTATCGCTGTGCCGAGAACTCGCTGGACACGTTGAGTCCTTCAGCGAATCCGCTCAAGACACTTTTTGGCGAATGAAAG